GTATATTTGTTAAATGTAAATAAGATCGATGTATAAATCTATGACATCTTCAAACAAACAATGATCAACTTGTTTGCATAGAATTTTGAATATCGATAAGAAGAATTGAGAAGAAAAAGCCAAAGAATTCTTTTTTGGTCTTCTCATGAGGATGAACAATGATTACTTTTTTTTTTTGTTTTACTACCTGACTGTAACATATGATCGATGTCGAGACAGTGACATTACGTGTGACTCTTTGATGTCTGACTATAGGTGTGATGATTTTTATTTTGCATGTTGTGTTTTGGAAATTAATAATAGAAACAAAGAAACGGATGCACTATACACTAAAGCAATTGAATCAGTTGAAATTATGATTGTTTTTAATTTTTTTATGAAAATTAATTTAAAAAAAAGGAAGCTGTTGTTAAAAAGCTAAGGTTTTTCAATATAGGAAATTTAGAAATGTCCCAATAAGTTTTGTTAAATAAAAACTTAATAATACTTGAATTTACCGACGAACCAACTTATTCATATATAAATAAAAAAAAATTCTTACATCAAGGAATTATATGTTTTGATGTTGAAAGTTCAAAAGTTATGCATTTTTTCAATTTAGACAGAATTGGGATTATTTTAAACTTGAAGTGGCAGTAAAGACACATAAAAAGTCACTATCAAACGTATTAATAAGCAAGGTTCTTGAATAAAGCTCGTCTAATTTCTTCTGAAAATGTTGTTTTTTGAAATATGAGAATAATGACTTTATAGAGAAATTTAGGTTAAAAAAAGATCAGAAAAGCCTATAAAAACTGGAATACACCCGAAAGCATCAAGTCTCAATATTTAATCATCTATATAGTTTTTTAAAACTATTGTTTGATTGTTGAAAAAAATCATTTTTTCCGATAAGATGATGAAAAAACATAAGCATATGTTCGCACAGAGTTGGAACCGGTCCAGCCGAACCGGACAAGACCGGATGAAAAATTAAACCGACCCGGACGAAACCGGATTTTTGTCAGTTCATAATATTGAAATTAATCCTTGTATTTCAAAGTTTTCTCCGATGACAACAACTTTTATTCGCTTTTTTTTGCGTTGAAATATTATGTCAGCGATTATTAGAAATTCCACATGAAAAAGAGAACATATGTCGAAAATATTTGTACAAATTCATGTACATGCATAGCTTCGATTGTATTTAGTAGTAGTTGCTTTTGATCGTAATTAATAAACCAGTCGGATTTTTGCCAGTTTGACGTCAAAAATGAACCGGACCGGATCGGGATGGAAAAAATCCGTCCGGTTCCAACTCTGAACTTCCTAATCAATAGAAATGAATAATTCGTCGATTTAGACATTTTAATGTTCGTTTTTATCATTGAAAAATAAGCTTGAAAGCAACAAATTTTTCATTGTATTTCGTAAATTTTAAGCATTGATGTGTTTGTTATTGTTTTCAGGTACAAAATTATTAACCGATGATATAATAACAGCTCGTTTTGCTAAAAATAGTCATTATCAGAGTCATCAAACATCGATGGCAAGTACTAAATCATCAAAATCTCAACATAAATCAAATGAACGAGAACATAAGAAAAAAAAGAAGAATATATTAGGTATTGGTACATCTAGTCCATCTATATCATCAACAAATTTAACATTATCACCCGGTCGATTATCAACAGATGATGATTATGATATGAAATCATCATTATCAAGACGTCATAATCGAACTAAAACAACAAATAAAAGTAAACGAACACGTGTAAAATAATATTTTGTATTTTGATGAATTATAATTTATGTATAATGAATATTTCTATAAAAAGAAAAAACAATAAAGTAGATTGCCTATCGAAAGATATTTTGATTTTTTTAATTTAATAAATTCAATTATAGTCTAATGGTGTATCATATCAAGAAAAATAATTCTACATATACACTCGTATTTTGTATTAAAACAAAAACTGTAGATTCTCTGTTACAATGATGATGTTGTTCTTATTTAAGTTTGCTTTGGGAAATATAAAACAAAGTAATACACTAAATTTAAACTTATCATAACAATAATCGACGTATGATTTCGATCAAAAAAAAAAAAGAAAAGCATTACAAATATAAATCAATACTATTAAAAATGAATATTCAAATAAATCTATTAAGAAAAGTAGTCGATAGACAATAGTATTAACAGAATAAAAAATTATACCTGTAACAATATCACAGCTGTTGTGTGAGACTCAATGCGGATGCATATTTTAGTTTTTTTTTTCTTCTATTAAATCTATTTATAATTTATGATAAGAACATTTTACACCTACAAAAGTGTAGCGAGTAAAGAAGAAGAATAATTCAAAACGTCTAATGTTATTGTAGTATGATATGAAAAATTAGTTAAGTGAATTCATTTATTGATCCAAGGGAAATAACGAAAGTTTTATTTAACTTAATGTACATTGATAATTACTTTAATTCGTTTAATAGTTGTACTTATATAATAAATAATTTTTTTTATGAAACTTTAAATTATCGGAAAAAAAAATAATTTTTCAAATGACGATCTCGAGGGAAATTCTTCATCGCGTTTCTTCCATATTCCTTCGACTTAAAAAGTTTTACTAATTTATTTGTCTATTTAATTAGCAAAACTACATCTGGTCTTACTTCTGTGTAGTTTCATATAAGAAAGAATTATATGTGTGCTTTTCTTAACAAATTATTCTTTAAAAAAAAAGGCAACAAAGGAGAGTAACTTTATATAATTTTAAGTACATTGAAAATAAGAAACAATCAAACGCATGTGTGAACAAAAATTTCTACTATTAAATTATTATCAATGCTTGTTGTATTGAAAAAGATTCTTATTTAAATAAAATTCTCTCAAAGTTATGGTTTTGTTTTGTAATTAGAGAGTAGAAAAAGAATTTTCAACCGTCAACATAAAGCACACAATAATAAAATTATTAATCTAGATAAAATTCAGGAAGCGTTAGTAAAAAAAAAACTAATTCTCTGATTTTCAAAATTTTTGTTTTGTTTTTGAACTTGTCGTTAGTATTTAGACTATTGTGTACTATATATATATACGAAGTAGAAAATCTGACTAAATCTAAACAAGTCAGCATTAATATATATTCCGAAACAAAATATTGCCACCTTTGGTAGCGAAGTCAACGGTTTTACATATGATTTCTGTTTCTCTGCAACAACTCATTTATTTCAAGTAAAATTATGTTTCTTTTTTTTAAACGGCGCAATGAAAAGATGTAAAGATATCAGTCAATTTCATCATAGATATTTTTCTATGAATGACTTTTTTTTTTGTTATCGAAGCAATTTACTCTGTTGGAAAAAAACTATTAAATAAAATCAGTATCGTTCATCGATTTATATGAAAAATCTCCTGTTGAGATAATTCTGATTGATTCGGAAGCTATTAGAAACAATGTATACTAATGTTTGACTTTAGTATGTATAATGAAACAAATGCATGCAGTAGAATAAATGGTGGTTTCACTATTTGGATCATAATTGCTTAAATTTTCTTTCTATTATTTTCCAAAGATTGTTCAATTTCTAATAATAGATTCAGCGATGGGAACTTTCCAAAAATGATATTTTTAAAGTTTCCTGTATCATCTTTCAACTGTCTATCACGTTTAAATTTTATTTTGATGTCAAAGAAACTTCATGTAAAATGATATTCAAGCTAAATAATGTTCAGAGAATGTACTGAGGTAACGTCAAAATAATATTCCTGTATGTGCTGGATGCTCAAAACGTGATGTAGGAAACTTACTATCGCTGAATCAATTGTTAGGTAATGGAAAAGATTATATTTGTCAAATGAAATATACTATTTTGTAGAGAATTCAACGGATAATTTTCGAAAAAAAGAAAAACGAAGAGCTCGATAAAATGAAAACTAAAAAGATTATGGAAATCGCCATTTATTCTATCGCACTCGTTATAATTGTTCATCGAAATACAACATTCAACATAAACTAATTTAGATTAATGTTTTTTGACATATTGACAAAGAGTATAATTGTAATGGCGTTGTAACCAAAGCGTATCGTTCTTTTCAAGTTTTTTTTTCCTCTAATTTATGTTTCAAGATCATGTTATTCTGTTTCTAATAAGCTAAATGAAAACAGTTATGAAGAATTTTTGAAGTGATGAGAGATTAATGAACCGTTTTAAATGATAGTTTTACTTTATTACTTTTGCGCACATCACCTAGTTGTTATATTCGTTCTTTCGTATTGAGAGTTTTCATAAACTATTTTTAAATATTTCTTCTGTTTAACAACAATTTTTGTTGAAATAATATTCATAAGAAGCGTCCTACACATTATAATAAAGTAATAAAATTGAAGGCTATTAAAACTAATAAATAATAAAATAGTAGTAATGTAGTGTGTCTACACACAAAATGACGAAAGGTTACTAACAAAACTTCTTTACAAAGCCTAGAGAAAAAACAAAAGATACATCTGGTGGTTTTTATTAGCAACTAATAAAGATGTTTTGGATTATTGTTCTAATTTTTCGTTTGTAAACGAACGTATCTTTTTCATTTTGTAAGAAAATTTTTTTTTTTGATGACCCTAATTGTCATTGCCTATGAATCTATTAAACTATCAAATAATGGAAATGTTTTTATCTAAGATGAACAAACTTATTGAGTTAAATATTTTTCAAAAATATCAATTGAAATCATGAAGACTTTTAGAATAGATAATTAATAATAAAAAAAAGTAACTTATTTAAGAGAGTTTTTTTTCTCTTAAGATAATCAACAAATATTTAATCAAAATAAACATTTCATTAGTATATTTATAAATATTATCAACCTTACGTTACTGATTATTAATTTTCTTTTGAGACAATAAACTATGTAACATCGAATTTTTTTTTTATTTTTATACAATGTAATTTTCATAAACAGCAAAAAACAAAACTGACGTTGTCTTTGTTTATTTTTAAAGGAACAAAAAACATCATCTCAAAACTTTTTACAATGGTTTCACTTGTTACCAACACATCCATTTCGGTGCTCGATTTTGTAGTTTAGACGCATAGAGAAAACAATCTAAAGTAAAATTTAATATTCGTTTTTCTTTAAAAAAATATTTTTTTAAATTAAACTTACTTCGTTTACTTCGTATTGTATTTCTTGGACTTTCTTCAGCAAATAATGGTACATTAAACAAATTCTAGAAATATTTTCATGAAAATTTTTTTTTTTGTTCTATTTTAATAAGTCAATGAACATACTCTACGATTAATATGTTGATCTATTTCACGTAACTGAACATCATCAAATATAACTGGTTTACTTTCATTTAATCCAATACACATAAGAATAAGTATAATAATGGTAATGTTCACAATAGATTGACGCATGATTTAATGTTAAAATATATTTTTGTTGCTTGGTTCTAGAGTTTTTGTGTAGTAAATAAAAAAATATATATATATTTATATGCTCCTTTTTTTATCTAATTTGTTAAGCAATAAAGAGAAAGAGAGAACAGAAAAAAGAAATGAAACCTTCAAGTCACGTTTTCTTTTTTTTACAGTTCAATGAAAAACAATTTCATAAAATAACTTCTTCAATACTTTGTGAAATATGGATATCCCACTCAGTATGATTTTCTTTGACAATTCTTCTTCTTTTTTTTATGAAATGTTTATTGTTAACGAAAATAATCATGACTACATTGATTAATTTAGTTATATCAATAAAAGAGATTATAGAACGTGAGTAGACAGACTTGCGAGCTAAATTACGTAGTCAAGAAGTAAAAGTATGTGATTTTTTAGTGAACAAATAGAACAATATTGTATGTCAGTAACTGAAATTCAATCACGGATATATAATAATTATAATTGAAATTCAATTTTTATAGCTCTTCCTTAAAAAGTGATACAGGCAGTAAATTATAGTTCACATGTGAATTCAATATTCTATCATAACCTTAATAAATTTAATGGGTTCAAAAACGTCACCTTGACATGTAAAACTATTCTCTGAAGTTTATTTGTCTTGAGGGATTTTCTCAATATCCTAGAAGTATATAAAGCATGTCTTATAGAAGATGAATATAGTTCGCAGAGTTACACACACACGTCAAAGTAGAAAAGAATTCTCATGTCGCCTACACTTATCATACACTCCTATTACATTCAATGAAGTTTCCTTAGCAAGTAGATAATTTCCAACCATAATGCATCATTAATTAAAAATTTCTTCTTCTTGGTCTATTTACTTCACTTACTTGATTTACTGTTAAAATAAAGTAACTTTGTTTCGTGTACTACTCTATATACTATTCGATTTGCGCATTTTTTATGGTACGTTACTATAATCGTTCATATCTGAAATACCTTAGAAGGAATATCGAGTACAATGGGGGGGGGGTGTTACATGAATCTTACTATTTTGTTTGTAAGTGATCGCATGCCTGCAGATAGGATTGCAGTGAAATATGATTGTAGTACGAAGTCGTATGAAGACACCGTAATGTTCTTTTTACTGTAGACAATGGCTAAATCTGTCAATAGTTCGACGAAATCGGATATGATGGAATCTGATAGAAACAAACAGATATGCATGCCAATGATCGAGATATGAGAAAGATTGTTGAACTCTATCGAATATATGGTTTTGCGGATAATTGAAAAAAAAAATGAAGTATTTTTGGCAACAGAAGTATTGCCAATGATTCTTCAACGATTCAATGTAAGGGCATAAGTAGTAAGTAATGTTTTAATTTATGTTAGAAAACAAAAATGTGAAGATCAATTTTCGAAAATTGAAAATAAGTATTAAAACACCTTTAAGCATGAAAAGCAATTCGAAAAATAAACAAAAGGCATAGCCAAAAATAAATTCTCACTATTGCTATTCTTTATATCTTCTTAGTTAGACAAAATATTCTAATAGTTAGGTACTATGTATATAGAAGGAAGTGGTTCTTTTCATTTTGTATAATCCATAAATCTTTCTCTGAATAAGAATTATGTGCATGATTTTACTCTACTTTTTATAGAAAATCCTTTTTTTTGCTAGACTAGAGCGATCGTCTTCTTGCATAAAGTATTAGTGTGATATCAGAGATAAATCGGCTTAATCATTATCATTTACGCAGTATAGATCATGAAAAATATCTTTAATATAATAGATGTGACAAAGGAGATTCTTATTTATTTTATCATGTTTTAAGTTCGAATTTCATTGAAATTGCAATAAGAAAGAAAACAATAATATATATTTTTTTTTGTTTATTTAGTTCGTGTATAATAACTATAATTAATTTCTGCATGTTGTTTAACTTGATTGATAATTCGATCAATATTCATATAATCTATTTTCTTTACTTTCGTTTGTTTAGGAAGATCATATGTTCGTATGTGTGGTATTTCATTGGTACTATGAAGAAATGAAAAGAAACATAAATAAAAATTTCAATTGAAATTTAATTACCGTTGACGATAGGTTTTAAATGTTAATAGTTGTTCAGTAGTATTTTTTGGAAGTGAAATAGGAGGAAATAGTGCACGACGTAATGTATTAAGATTAACACAAACACCATTTGGTTGTAATCGTTGTAGTTTTTCATACATTTGACGACATTCAAGTTCATCATTAGGTGATAATGTCGTTTCAGGTCGACGTATATCAATTCGAATAGGTTCTATATGATCTGTATATCGTGTTGATTTTTTAGTCAATCTATGTTGTCGATGTTGTATATATGATAGATTCGTTGAAACTGTATTAGGTCGTGCTGTCATTATAAATGGTAAAGAAACAATGTGAGTCAAGGCAATGTATATTTCTTATGCTTTCTGTTATTGAAATTGAATGTTGCATAAGGTAAATTTTTTTTCTTTTTCAATCTTTTTTTCTCGATAGCAACATATAAATCTCAACAATCTTCATGAGTTCTAATGTGCTGAAAGAAAAAAAAATAATACATTTGTGTGTCGATGCAATGTAAAAGGTAACAATCCTTGATTTGTACATCGACAAAAGAAAATGTTTGAAGAAAAAGGTTTTTTTTTATTGATTATGTACATCATTCTGACGTTTATATTAATAATACAAGTTTATGATAATACGAAAAAGAATGATGTTTTTTTAATAGTTTTAATTTGTTCTTGAACTGATGTAGTATTTTATGTCATGTTTTTTCTGCAAATAAATTTTTTAAGTAGATCATTTTATACACTAAGTAGTCATGTGTAATATTTCAATTACAAAATTTGTTCTTTTATTATAATTCTTCTTTTTTAATAACTAACTTTATGATATAATAATTAGAAAAGAATCGTCAAATAAATTCAAATGCTTTACTAAACATAACTAATGAAATAAACTTTTAAAAATACTACAAACTATTGATAAGATTAGATATTATTAATTAAATTATAATATCGACAATGCGAAATCAGAGTACAATCTTTTTTTTTGTCATGGTAGGATAGAGCTTGTTGAATTACACTTAAAAATATTGTTTTTCACACATTTCAACAATGATCTTGTAATAACACTTAGGAAAATCGAAAGAAAATTAAAAAATTGTAATTTGTTAATAGCATCAAGTCTCGGTAGTCTCAGTCTTGATCTGAACCTTTTTTTTTATTATACTCGTCATATTCTTAGAAAAAAATATTGTTTCATTGTATGAGAAAATTGATTGTTTTTTAAAATATGATAAGTAATCCTTTCTAAGTACAGATTTGTATTCAGAGTCAACCGAAAGTTCTATATCGATTAGAATACTCAATACTTGAAAACAAATTTCGTTTTGAGACAAACCATAGATCAGATCATGGAAAAATAAAAGCGAAGAATGTAAGTATCGAAATTCGATAAAAAATTTGTATTAAGTATTGGATATCATATTTGATGTAGATTTTTCTGTTGATCCTAAATATGATGTTTGCTTCATGATGAACTCATATTTTCTATGATAAAAATCTCTGAATAGTAATCATTGTTTATAGTATTTTGTTGTCACATGAAAAAAAAAAGAGAATTTTTCAACAGTGAAACAGAATTTTTCAAAAAATATGCGTAATTTTTTTTTCCTAACTATATAAAGAATATAATCAAAAACTAATTTTAGATAAAGACGGAGGCTACCGAAACTTAATACTTTTAGCGTATTTAACTTTTTAAAGAACTGTTCTGACGTTTTTTTTAATCTGATTTTCTAAAGCTTTATTATTAAAAGATTTGTTCGATTAAGTTAATAACAACATTATTAGATGTAACTCGACATGTCCTATTTAATCATGATAAAAAGTGTCAGAAAAAAAATATTGCTCGAATACTGCATTGTCGACATCTTACGATAATAATAATTATCCGTTAAATTTAAAATATGAATTTATCTTCTTTAAAATTAAATAAATGAAATATTATATGAAAATCAAAATAGTTCAATAGTTGATTGTTTCGAATCAAATTTCTTCTAAATATATAACGTTCATTATATTCATTGAAATATTCTACTATTTATATCTTGTAAATACTATTGATAATGATGCGCATTTGTTTAAATTTTAATATTAAATAAAAACAAAGAATAAATTTTTTTTCAAAAAGTCAAATCTAATGTATTTACGTTTTTCTTTTTGCAAACAAAATTATATATAAAAAAAGAAAGAAAATTTATGGTCTAACAACAAAATTTGGTATATTAATTGTACTTTTATATTTTGGTTGTTCAGTGAATATAGTCGATAGATCTGAACGTAAGTCAATTATTAATTGTTTTAATTCTCGATGTTCATATTCTACACGAGCTAAACGACCTTTTACTTCTGCCATATCAATATGTTCAATAGACATTAATGATTCATTTGCTTGAAGTGCTTGTTCAGCACGTAAACGTCGAGCTTGTTCTTCAAGAAGACGATTGTAAAGACTAAATAGATTTAGATTAATTATAAAAACAATGAAATTAATCAAAATAGAAAATATCTAACGTTTTTTGAGCAGCTAATTTTTCTTCACAAATTGCATCACGTTCACGTATTACTTGATTAATTGATTCAAGGCGAATTTTTTCACTTTGAAGTTGTGCTTCTTGTACAGCTTCCTATGTAGATAAAAACAAAGAAAGTATTAAAAAACAAGATTGTTTTTATTTTCTTATTACTTGAAGTTTTCGTTGAGCTATTGATTTTTCAAGTTGAATTTCTTCGTCATGACGTTGATTCATATGTTTTTCAACTTCATCAACCCTATCCTTTCCAAAAAGAAACAAAAAAGATCTATTAGATATTTGATATTTTATTTTAATATTATAGAAGTTATGTTGGCAATGAAGTTATGCAACTTCGATAGTGTATAAAGTAAAGCAAGAAAAAGAATATTAGTGGAGCTTAATAATAAAACTTTCAGAATGATCTTCTTTCAATTTGAGAAAAGAAATTCTGAAATATATTTAAACAATCGCTCATATCAGAAATAAATCGGTGTGCTTTTTTCGTTATTGTAAATAATAAAAGCTTTTAATTTGCAGTTATTTTATAGCGAAAGTTTTTTCTCGAGTATAGTTATTTGAATTTTCGAGAGAAGAAGGATGGCGATAAATATCAATTTAGCCGAAGTAAAAGAATACACATCATACAAAAAAAAAAATCGAATTGTCGTAGACAAACTTATTTATCAAATTGAAAAATTTGATTGAATCTAAGAAAAAGAAATATTGATCAATCGATAATGAAAAAAACGGCACTTCTTATAAGAAAAATCAATAGAATTGAAAATATGTCGTACTTGTCAAAAAATCTATTTTTGTCTTCAAGTTTTTATTTATCTATACCATCTATGAATTTTTTGTAATTCATATAAACAATGATCTAATGGAGAAAAAGATGAGAATTTCATAAGGTTTCTTGACAAAACCTTGAGCGTTTTTTCTTTCAGTATTTTTCGCTCTGACAATAGTTGTTTATATATTTTCTTCTGAATGTTTTGTTTATCGTTCGGCTAAATTAATACCGTTCAGTACGATATGATAACTATAAACTCTACAAAGAAGAAGAACAGATCGAATTATTGAGCAATCGTGATCTTGTTTCCTCACATCGTAAAGTCGATATCTTATTTCTATCAATTAAAAATAGTCTGATACGTTTTTTCCTGTTCTGTAATTTCACAGAACTTCTCAAGTGATGCTAAATCGAATAGCTATGATGTAATACTTCTTAATCTATTCATTTGCAAGTAAAATATACGACATTCTTACTTTACTTTACCTATTATTATGTAAATGCTGTCAAAGAGTATTGAATTTATTTCAAGTAAAAGAAAAAAATTTTTTTTTTTCTATTTCTACTTTGGTTGAACAAGCGTCAGAGTTACCTTTTTATAATCCATGAACAACACTGATATAGCATTCATTTTAGAGCAAAGAAGAAGATATAATCAAAGCATTTAGCTAGTCAAATACTTACCTTATGTTCATGAACATAAGCCTGTATGAAATTTATTATGTATCTTTTTTTAGAAATTAATTNATTCGTATATTTACATCTTTCCCTGTGTTTCCAAGCAATGCTGATTTTCCTGATTTTGGGTCCCTTTTCCTGATTTTTTCTTCGAAAATTCCTGTCCTGATTCCTGATTTTTCACATGACATCGCTGCGACCCCTGCGAAAGTCAACTGCGAAATCCATGGAATTCTGCAAAATATATTTTCAAATGAAATAAGAGCTCGTATTGACCCATTTTTGAACGTTTTCTGCTGAATAAGTCTAAAAATATTTCGAAAGGAATAGTTGATTACTGTCTTTTAAATCTACCATTGTGCCGCTATCACGATGATGTTGTTCAAGCATCTCTTATGCCATCGATGCGATGAACAGCTGTGCTGTTACATATTATTAGATTTTGTATGCTAGCTATGATATTTAGAAAATTTCATGACTAGTGAACTATCTTTTTAAAAGGCGAATCATCATTTTTTTTATTAATTTCTATGAAGAAAAGACCGAAAATTTTCAGTTTTCGTTTATAGTGAGCGGTTTTAATCTGAAACAGTCTATGTTACCTATCATCTATTCGAATATAACAAAATATCTTCTTTTTTTATTGAATTTTTTTATTTTACGTGAAATATCATCAGATACGTGTAAATTGTATGTCAAAGATTTAGAAGAACGTTTTCATGTTAAAAGAAAATGATGTTAAAGAAATTGTAAACGATAAAGAATATATCATAGAAGTTGATTTAACTCTTGAAAATTTCCTTCAAATTATTTTAACTGATAAATATGCAATATCTTTACATACTGAAAATATTGAATTAATATTTCATAATGTAAGAAAAAATAATCATCTTAAAATCTTTAATAATTTCTGATCTAAAATTTAGTCAATAGAAAAAGGTATAATTAAAGAAAATGAATTTTTAAAAGAAGAAACGTGAAAAGTAAAGAAAAAGTTTTTTTTTTTTTTTGTTTAATTTAAAAAAGAAATTGAAAATGATAATATTGACTTTCTACTTTCATTAGAATCAAATCGTACTTATTTATTTGATAAATATTATCAACAATCTCATCATCATAAACCAACACGAAAAGAATAGAAAAAACATAAACATTAAAAAATACATTTATCACAAGCAAATATAGGTTTTAATACAAAGTTTATTTATATAAAACTTTTGTTTTCAGGAATCTTAAGATCAAGAACAGAAAACATGTGGATCGTTAGCAGTAGATTCAATAAATGTTAATGTACCAGAAAGCGATGAAGGTGAAACAAAAGATACTGATTGTGATATACTTGCTCCGTCATCGAAATCAACTACCGTAACTAAAAGAAAAAATCAAAGAGAAAATATTAAAAAGATAACATCAAATCATCAATCAGTTTGTATTGCTTGATTTTATTTTAATAGTTTGTTAAGGAAATTTATTTTGCTTTTTAGAGTGTCTGCGAATCAACAAAAAATTGATCAATAAAGAAGTAAAAGAAAAAGAACAAATAAATATGTAGTATACATATATAAATATTTTGTTTTCTTATAAATTGTTATTGCTTGTATACATAGGATTTTTTTTTGTTTTGTCTATTGAGTAAAAAAAATAATGAGTATAATTTTATACTATGATATTTTGAAAGATTTAATAATATTTTTCTTATGATTTCTGCAGGATCAAACATAATTAAAGTGACCCCAGTTGGATACACAGAATTATACTTATTATGTATTAACAACGGATGATATCGATCTTCTGCTCGTATGCGGATTTATGAATAACTGATATCCTGCTTTCATTCTTTCGTCTCTTGTTATTTGAAGCGAGAAATGACTATAATCTAATTATAGGTCTTCTTCTAAAGCATGATACACCTTTCAGCTATAAGCTTTTATTGTTATAGTAACTATTTTCTATCTTTTTCGTTTCATATGAAATTTTATTTCTTATATATTAATTCAAAATCTTAAAATTTGATACGCTTTTAGGATTTTTATCATTTGCTACATAAAATTTGCTAAGAAATGAGTCTTTCATAACTCTTATTAGTTTATAACAAAGGAAATGAATCTATTTTTTCAGAATAGTATCATTAGTATCGAAATTTTGCTTGATAACATTACCAAAATCTTTTGTATAGAGAAAATTAAGTTAGACTTAAGACATACAAAAATTAATATTAATTAAATATAAAACAAATATTAACTAATTGCAACAGCAAGATGAGAATTATTATTGTCAAGGTAATATTCTTAGAACAATAGAGAGAAAAATAAAATAGAAGTTTGATATGTTCATATTATTAATAGAAATGTATTCTTCTCGATAGTTAATCAAAATTTGTTGAAAGATTTTATTGAATAATTGATTAAATATTTTCATTATTCTATAACAATAAATTAATGTTATAATTGAAAAGTGTTTCATCATTTAAAATAAGACAAAAATAAAATTTCACAAAAAAAAATCTATAATTATATTAATTATATTCATTTATTAATGTTCTCAATTTTCTTCCTTCAAATAACAAGAGACGAAAGAAAGAAGTTAGAATATCAAATAGTCAAACATCCGTAAGTGAGTAGAAGATCAATATCATTCGTTATTAATAGAAAATAAGAATTATTTCATGTATTTATGTGAGAGAAATTATAATTATATTATACAATGTATATTTTATAAATAATTCATCTTTTACAAATTCTAAAATTGAAAAGTTAAAACTAAAACAATTGTTTTAATTTACTCATTAAATGTTTTATATGAAGAAATCGTTTGAAAATTAATAATTTTTTTTTCAAGAAAAGTTCTTCTTCATATTATTTACTTGAAATCAATAATTTCGTAAATGAACAGAAAATTCTTTTTAATAATTTTATATTTGAATGATTTTCAAATAACTTTTCCTCATCAATAAAATGTTTTAACTATTATCCTTTTATAAATTAAATATATTCTGTTAGAATTTTGAATAACTTCAAAATGCAAGTTGTTCGAGATCTTTGGCTCATGTAACAATTAATGAATACGGTATCAAATACTTTTGTCTTGAAATTTGTAATGAAATATTTTTATTTATTAGATTTAACTTTATAAGATAATTGATTCATATGTTAGAAAGGCATTTTAGAATGTTTTTGTATTTTTTAAAATTGAACAAAATATAATATTAAAGAATTTTTCTCTTTTAAAGAGAAACGTTTGCATTGTTAAAAAAGAAGAAATTACAATTTTTGATAATGTAAAGCATTTTTTTCTGTAATTTCAGATAATTTCCATGATAAACTAAAAATCGTAAGTCTCTAACTACTTGCATTCTAATGTTACTAAAGAAGAAAAAAACCAACCGAGCACTTTATATTTCTAAATTGTATTCTTATCTTGCTATTAACTGATTGACTGATTTTTATCTTTATTTATTAAGATATCAAGAGATAGATTATATCTTATATTACTAATGAATAAAATATAAACAAACTTCTACATAATTAACAATATAATCTGTTGTGTTATACTAAACCTAAAATGTTTAAAACAAAAACTATAAATGTATACTTCTATATACAAGTTATAACATGTATCTGTCTATTGCAAAGAAAAACCATAGTAAAATTTGTATAGTTTATCAATAGAATATATGTTTTATTAGTTTTGGAAAATGTCACATGATTGATTTGTGTTATTTTACAATCTATTATTCACTATTTGAGTAATAGAATAAGATTTGTATTATAATTTTCAAAAATTCTTTATATAACTTTGCATATTCTAACAAGTGAGAAGATTTTTATTTTGATATAATTATCTTTTTTCAACAAATTTCATATATAGCAAACAATTGGCACAGATGACTCACCTCATCTTCGAAAATTTTCATTTTTCTCCAGCCAAGATCCAAGCTTTTATTGGCTTGTTTTGCTCATCAGCTTTCAAAGAAAAAAGCTGAATTCTTAGAATCCGGTCAACTTTACAAACAGTTTTTCAATAGATGTTCCTCAATCCTGGCCAGCTAAGAGCACCCATGGACATTTATGCACCTACCGATTATTCTTAAATATAATAGCAGATTTTTATAAAATAAAATTTCTTATTTAATTATCTTTTTTCATTATAGTCGATTAAGCAACATTTCAATGTTTGAAATTTTCTTCAGATAAATTCATTGAATATCATCAGTTCGACAAACAAGAACAATAAAGATAAATCTTTTTAAAGAACTTGCTCGAGGTATATAGACATTAACATCATCTTATCATTGATGTTATTTATTCTATTTCTTCTAGAAGAAGTTAAACTTGATAAACAAAAAAGAAAAGCAACAAACGATACAACCACAAAATCTAAAAAAAGATATCACATAAATTGATAAGACATATATAGAAGTGTGAAAGTGAGCTTTGTACTTTTAATTGAAATTCTACATGTTCATTAAATATATGAAGTTTATTTGAATTACAAATTGAATAAGATTGAAAAAGAAAACTAAGAATGTTTGAAAAATTATTATATTTTTTATTTATCTTATTTATTTCATCATCAAATTCAAATCGTATATCATTATTTGGTAATGATTGGATAATAACTAATAAGATAAATCATACAGCACAAGGTCAGATACCTGGTACAATTCATACAATACTTTTTACTGCAAAACAAATTCCTGATCCATATATGGATTATAATGATGTTGATTTACGTTATTTAATACATAATAATTGGATATTTACAAAAAAATTTAATTTAACTTCTAATTTTCTTGCTTCAAATCAAATAATAATACATTTAGAACAAATTGATACAATTGCTAATATAACATTAAATACATGTTATATTGGTAGAACTAATAGTATGTTTATACCTTATACATTTAATATATCAAATTCATGTTTAAAAATTGAAAATGAAATTCAAATTTATTTTGAATCTCCTATTCTTTATGCATTAAAACAAGCTGATGCATATAATGATACAGTACCACCTATTTGTACACCTCCAGTTCAAAATGGTGAATGTCATGTACAATTTATTCGAAAAGAACCATGTTCATTTAGTTGGGATTGGGTAAGATTTTACTCAGATGAAATAAACATTCTCATATAATTTAGAATGAACTGATATTTTTTACTTTTGGAGATTTGACGTGTAAACTTGAATGAGAGGTTATTAATTTACGATCTTTCATCATATATCGAAAACGGTTATCATGATCTGTAGAACTAGTTAGTCTTAATATTATAGAGAAACAAATTATTAGTAATTAGACTGTTTTATAAAAGAGTCTATTTCATTTACGATCTCACAAATGACCATAGAGAGTAATATGGCAGAATCATGTTTACAAAATCAACCACACCTCTAACTGTAAAGCATTAGATTAGACTAATGATGTAAGTCCTTCAACTAATAAATCGCTTTTCAGCCGACACTACCTGCATTATGTAGACTCAAATGAATTATGACTACTCTGAAAAGAGTTCACATTCATAATTTATTGCTACAAAGATGCTGTATTTTTATGGTAGTTTTGAAATAAAGCCGTGGTTTCCTTCAGGAACACAAACACAAGACATTTTAAAATTCTGACATGAGACTTTGAAAAGAGACGCATATTAACAATAATAATTTATAGTGAAAGTTTTAGGTCGAAATTCAATAATCATTTTCTCAGTGTTCCTGACGGAATTACGTCATTCATTTAAAATCTACCTGATATTTCGGATGTCAAGGCAGCAATAAGCTAAGAACCCGAGATACTTTGAGAATACTCAAAGTTCATTTGGGTCAACATGATGTACATACTTCTTACTCAAAAGTAAGCAATCTGTGGCGGCGTTTTCCTGGTAATTTTTCTTTGGCATTAAATTTGTAGTCATTTATTAGTATATTTAAAGATGGATCGGAAGTTCAAACAGGTGATTAGATTTGCCCATCTGCTCGTCACGTTGTTCCTAATTTTTTGAATAAAAAACTGACTTTTTTCATGAGGGAGTATAGGTATCTAAATATAAAGTGGAAATTTCTGTGCCATTGAGAGTTGCAAAATGATTTGTTTTTATCACTTTTACTGAATACAATCCTCTCAAATCTGTACTTATCAATATTATTTAATACAAGCAGTTTTCGAATTGATATTATTTCTAAGTTACATTTATTTATTCCTAATAGGAAGAAATTATATATAATCTCTTCAATTAGTTAATTAAATGCATTGAAAATATTCTTAATCTTAATGATTTCTTTTTTTTTTTGTCTTTTCTTGATAATTACATCATTACGAAATGCATGTCTTTTCGTCTTCTTATAAAAGCAATCTTCTATGTTCACTGAATTATCATCGTAATTTCAGTCAGTAAAACAAATGAATAGTTTTCAAGGATTTGAAACTAAGATTTATCTTTTGTTATTATCGGTATATAAATAACTTGATAAAATTCATTGTTAAACATATATATTGATTATTATAAATTAATTTTGTGTTTTTGAATAATAAGTCAATAATAAATTAGTATATGAATATATGAAAAATTTTTTATTTTAGGGTCCAGCTTTTGCTCCAATTGGTATAACAGGTGATTTATATCTTGAAGGTATAAATACAACTGAGATAATTATTGAACTTGAAAGTATTAATCTTGCTTCTTATCATAAACAAAATAAAATTTGGCAAGTTGATGTTATGTTAAGTAGTAAAAATGATCCATTTATAAGTAAATTAAAATTTATATTAGAAAATACAACATGGTCATTTGAAAGTTCTGTTCCATTTGATCATAATTTATCAATTTCTTTATTAATACCAGATGAAAATATATTACGTTGGTGGCCAAATGGTTATGGTGATCAACCATTATATAATTTAGTTGTTTCAAATCAAGGAAATTTTATTAATTCACGTTTAATTGGTTTTCGTACTATTGAATTAATTCAAAATGATTATGGAAAAGGAATTAATGGAACATCATTTTATTTTTCTATTAATTCTTTACCTATATTTATTAAAGGAAGTAATTGGATTCCATCAGATTCATTTCAAGAACGTGTTAATAATGAAAAACTTGAACGTTTACTTCGTTCAGCTAAATTATCAAATATGAATATGTTACGTATTTGGGGTGGTGGAATTTATGAACGTAATTCATTTTATGAAATAGCTGATCGTTTAGGTATTATGTTATGGCATGATTTTATGTTTGCTTGTAGTCTGTAAGTTTATTTAAATTATTTAAATTATTTAAATTATTATTATATTTATTTTCTATTTAAAGTTATCCTGTTGATGAACCATTTTTAACAAGTGTTTATGATGAAATTATTTATCAAGTTAAACGTCTTCAATATCATCCATCTATTGTACTTTGGGCAGGAAATAATGAAAATGAAGCTGCTGTTGCTCAAAATTGGTATGGTGTACCAGCTGAAAAAATGAATAAAACAAAAGATGATTATAGAAAATTATATGTTGAGACAGTTATGAATGCTCTTATACAAGTTGATAAAGGAAGCAATCGACCATTTGTTACTTCATCACCATCAAATGGACTTGAAACAATAATTGAAAATTATATTGCTAAAGATCCTCAAGATCCACTTTATGGTATAGATTATAAACATAGAATTAAGCTTGTTTTTTTCTTGAAACAAATTTTTATTTCTCTTAGGTGATGTTCATTTTTATGGATATCAGGATGATTCATGGGATCCAACAACATATCCAATAACTCGTTTTCTATCTGAAACAGGCATTCAATCATTACCAAGTTTAGATACATGGTATCAAACTACCACAAATTCATCAAATTTAAATGTTAATAGTACATTTATTTTACATCGTGAACATTCAGGAAATCAATTGGCTGCAATGATGTTTGTTACTCTAATAGATCAAGAAAATTTATTTTGATTTTTTTTTAATTTTCTAGGAAACACATTGAAAGTAATTTACCATTACCAGTAACAAAAGATTCCTTGAGAAATTTTGCTCAATTGATTTATTTAAGTCAAATACATCAAGCGATGACATTAAAAAGTATAAGTGATCTTTGTCGAGTTCATTCATCAGTAGAGATGATTAATCGAAAAACAAGTCAAGGGTACATTTATTTCTAATAATTTTTTTTGTTTCTTATCATTGTTTTTTGTTATACACTTCTTTTTTTAGTCATACGATGGGCTTAATGTATTGGCAAATAAATGATATTTGGCAAGCACCAACATGGGCAACAATTGAATATGGATTGAAATGGAAAATGGGTCATTATTATGTTGGTCATATGTATGCACCTGTTTATCCTATCGCTATTCTTACACCTTATTTAGCTAATGTAACAGATGAAAATGCTCAAGTTTCATTTTATATTATTAATGAACTATTAAATGATACAAGTGGTACTTTAATATGTTCAATTTATTCATTAGATACATTGATGCCTCGTTTTTCAATTCCAAAAAATATTTCATTTGATTCACCTGGTATACAAAATATTATGAATTTTTCTTATTCAATATTAATGAGACGTGCTGATTGTGAACAAAGTTCTCAATGTATAATCCATTGTTCATTAAATTATAATCAACATCAAATAGGACAAACATTATTTTTAAGTCGACCAAAAAATTATCAATTATCAAATCCTAATCTTCAAATTGAAACAATTAAACAAATATCACCAACTGATTTTGATATAATAATTACCGTTGATCGACCAGCTTTATTTGTATGGCTTGATACAACAGCTAATGTAACTGGTTATTTTTCACGTAATGGATTTCATATGTTTCAACCAAGTATGACTATTACTTTTCATTCATGGACACCAATTGAAGATTTTGACAAAGTTAATTTTGATATACGTTATACTTCATTGTTTGATGTTACATTACCGTGATTTGTTTCTTTTACTCCTTTTTACAGAAATAAATAAAATGTAAGATTTATTCATCAAAGATGACTAGGTAGAAATCGTAATTTTTGATTGTTTTGGTGGGTGGTGGCTGTACGTAAGAGTTAAGTTGAGACACATCTACACCTTTCTTATGAAAGTTTTTTTTTTATGTTAGACATACAGAAGGGAGTCGATGAAACTGGACATGCCGAGGGGAGGGCTCAAAAAATGTTATTTTTATCTGGATGTTCTTACCCTTTTAAGTACCAACACTCTGCCTGTGAGAGAAATTTCTGTAAGTGTCCATATTTAAGGCATTCATAGTGTAGGATTAATATTTTCCTCAAAACTTTTTAAAAATCTTTAAAATTAGTGTTAGCTGATGCCCATACTCCTCTATGGTGATGGCGAGAATATATTTTGGTCATCCACATGGGGGGAAGAGTAAGGGTGTGGGTCAAACTTCGATTGAGAGCTGTCGCAAAATCAAATTTTGGAGTATCACTAGGAGTCACTTCTAATTTGATTCCGACACAAGAAACCGGAACCTTCTCGGGATAGCAAAAGAGCACTATCTGCCCTTCTCCCTGTCAGAATAGAGGTGGTGTTCCAAAACACCCCATCAGGCTTACTATCTAAGTGACCTCATTAGGGTTATAACTCTTATATAGATATATGCACCGAAATTTCTTCTATGTCATAGAGAAAACCCACTTCGATATCGTTTCGCATTCGCAAGTTATTCAAAAATTAAGATACTTAAGAAACTATCCTTTATTCGAGACGCTGGTACTTAAAAGATTAATACATAACTTCTTATCTATTATTATGTAAATATTGTCAAAGAGTATTGAATTTATTTCAAGTAAAAGAAAAAATTTTTTTTTTTCTATTTCTACTTTGGTTGAACAAGCGTCAGAGTTACCTTTTTATAATCCATGAACAACACTGATATAGCATTTATTTTAGAGCAAAGAAGAAGATATAATTAAAGCATTTAGCTAGTCAAATACTTACCTTATGTTCATGAACATAAGCCTGTATGAAATTTATTATGTATCTTTTTTTAGAAATTAATTTAATTTAAATAAATAAAAATAATGAAATGAAAAAGAAAAAAAACAAAAGAAGAAAAAAAAGAGCTCACCAACTTGAATAAGTTGTACATAATCATTATTAAGTGTTGTTCGAAGATTTTCATGATATTGTTTTACTTGAATTTTTTCAGCAGGTGATGATGAATAATCACGTCGTTGATTCGTAGCCAATTTTATTTCACGTTGACTTTTAACTAATTGTCGTTCAAAACGATTTTGAGCACGATCAACTGTTTGTCGATGTAAAGCACTAACTGTTCCTAATTAAATAGATGAACATCAACATAGTACATCAATGAATTTTATTCTTGTTTTTTTTTTTTGTCTTCATACGAGTAACTTTATCTTTACTATCACGACATGAATTTGAACGAAGACAAGATATGTTTTGTATTGATGATCGTGTTCGGTCAGTCATTTTTAGTATGCAAATGGAATTTATGAGTCTTCACACTTAAAGTAATCTTTGTTAATATTTAAAAAGAACGAAAGCATTCATAGCCTTGATTACCAGCCATTTTTATGCAGGTTGTGATGGTGCATTCATCAAACAAACTGTTTTATTTCATTCATGACCTACAATGACATCTTTTGAATAATGATTTAATACTTAAATCAATATGGTTATGAGCGAAAGCGAATGAAGTTTTTTTTGTCAGTTTTTATATTATATAGTATTGACTTGTACAATTAATTAAATGCGAAATGTCCGCTAAATACAATGATTGCAGCATCTATGAGGATGCTTCTCCTACTTCATCCAACATCAATAGCTGGATGTAAGTGATTAATAAAACATATTTTCTTATCACTGCTCGTTTTTTTTAGTGAATAGCGCAATAAAAGTAAATTGACAATCAATCCATAGAAGCTTTTTTTTCTATGATAAACGAAAAGCTTAAGAGCAGACAATTCAACACTATGCACAAATGCATAGAAATATTTCAAACTATCTTAATTGTAGATATAATTCTACATGAAGAAAATAAATGTTTATTTGAAAGATGAGAAGAGTTATACAAGTTCAGCAACATAAGAAAAAAAAGACTATCGACAAAACATTAAACATTTGATGGTTAAACTTATTACAAGTCTATATCAATATAATCTAAGTGAGAAAAACCTCACGAATTGAAAACGCGTGTTGTTTTTAGAAATGTCTTATCGATAATTGTTATTTTGTTTTCTTTAGGTTATGTTGTGTGAATATCCATAATCTGAATATAAAGCTGAAAATCGACATGTCTATTATCATAATGTTAATACAAAAAAATCAGAAGACATTGAAAAAAAATGATTGTTCAACAACAAATAACTATTAATTAATCATGAAATATGTAAGAAAAATATGTTTGGAAAAATTTATTACGTGTACAAAGTTTTACAATATTATCTAGACGATTGAAATCAATAAATATTCGAGAATGCTATTTATATTCAATACTAAAAAGACAATGATAGAAATTTAAAAAGCACAGTATTATAAATAATAAGTTACAGTACCTTTTCCTTTCTTCACGCAAAATCTTTGAATTTCTTGTGATCATTTTATAATCTGAAGTAGTATCTATCTTTTGAGTACACTTTGAGAATCGAAAATTGTCTTTAGATACGAAGAAAGCAGGTTTAGCTAGTACGGTCGACCAAACTGAATTTTTTTTTAATATATACTATACCCTGAGATGGAGGATTTCTTTTCTTTTGTTTCAAAAACTATTGTTCTGTTGATTTTTAGTAGCTCTATTAAAAAAAACATTCATGTAGTAGAGTACATTCAATATTTTACCTGTTTTATTTGAAGGACAAAGAAAAATAAAGGCGCTCATCCGAAACAGTGTCTAATTTCTGTGAAAATAAACTTTGAGTTCGTTCAAACATCACATCTTGAAGAAACTGAGAAAGCATTTTTCGACATCTTGATCCGAATATCTCATAT